GAAATAATCTGATGGTTCCGCGTCAGCGATGAACGCGGAAAATATTAATAGTGAGAAGTTACGAATATAAATAAAAGTTACTTTAATAATTTATCGTTCGGAACGTAATAATAATTGGAAATAATTTTGCGATGTCGAACGAGTTGAAATTAAACGAGAAACAAATCGATTATGATAATTGAATAAATGTTGTTCAAGTATTTTAATAAATAATTTATTTATTACTTTACTTCGAAATTTTTAAATAGTTATTTTTTTCAACGGATTAATGTCTGTTCCTTTTCTTTTTCTCATTCTTTTCATCTTCCACGATTCGAATCGAGTAGTTATCGATCGATTCGAAAATTCGAAATGGACTCGAAATATTCGAGACTGTTAATTTAAACCTCGTCGAGTGAAGGAGAACGAATCAAATACAAGATGCAATTACGAATCATAATTTCCCCCTCTCGAAAATTCTCAGTATTTAATCGCATGGAAGAATGTAAAGGAAAGGCTTGATACTCAAAATGGTGCAAGTTGTTGGGTCTGCACGAATTTTAGATTGCACGGTTCAAGACTCACGCGAGATATTTCACGCGTGTATTCGTAAATATTTTTGCCGTATCTTCCCTTTGATCGAAGCGAAAAATACAAGCGCAGTGGGCTAAGCAGTCGATTAAAAGCGATTTAGATAAAGAAGGGAAGAAAGCTTTTTCGAACCGGATCTTTTCCAACCTTTAAACTCGCCCCGAAACGTGTTGTAAAAGCTCTTTGTCGCGTAAATGAATGCGCGCCGCGGCCTGGCTGAGATTTTTAAAACCTAGGATCGAATAGAAGTCTCGAGGTGAATTTTTTAAAAGTGAAATTCAATTTTTTCCCCCCCGCTGTAATGTACGCGTGTAAAATATTTCTTTGTGCCCGCATCTCCACGCACCGAAAGTCGGAGAGGTTAATGTTATTTGAACCGAGCCTTTTACTCGCGTACCAAATTATACCACGGAGAAGAGACGAAATATATATTCATATATTTCGTATATTCCATTTTACACTCGCCGTGAATCTCGTCGAAAAAATAAAAAAAAAGAAGGAAACAAGCGTAATAAACGAACTCTGCTCGATCGATAAATTATTTTCAGACGATAACACGTCCTATAATCTTCAACTATCTCGATCTACGTCATCTGTCTAAATTTTAAATACTACGATTAACATTTTCTTTCATAAATTTTTCTTTTTGTTTGAAAAGATCGTAAAAATTACTTTAAAAATCTTCACTTTATTTTCTACTTGAAAAATGAAAAAAAAAAAAAAATCAAATATTTTCATAAATCTGTCGACAAATTAAAAACTAATAAATATATCAGGAAAAGAAAGAAATGAAATTCGTGACTTACTTTTAATCGAGAATTAAATAGCACGGAAAGTCGGTCGAATCGTAAACTCTTTTAAATGATAGCGGTTAGCTCGGCTCGGTCCGAGCGATAAGTATTCTCGGGGTGTCTAGGCACGCCGCATGAAACCAAGAATCGTAGGTATGCGTTCCAGTATGGTCGCTACAATCAGAGTGGCACGCGCTCTCATACCCATCTTCCCCTACCACCCGATCCAACTAACCTCGC